ATACCCCCTCCCCCCGTGTAATAATTGCTCTCCTCATACTGACCCCCCCCCGTGTAATAATTGCTCTCCTCTTCTCATTCAGGATTTTGGCGATGGGGGGGCGTTCCCGGAGACCCCCGTGGCGCAGTACCCCCTGGACATGGGCAGGAAGAAGCGGACGTCCAACGCTCTGGCCCTGCAGGTGGACGCGGAGGGGAAGATTAAATACGACGCCATTGCCCGGCAGGGCCAGTCCAAGGAGAAGGTGAGTCTGTGGGGGCGGAGTCACGCTGGGGGGGAGGAGTATGGCGGTTGCTGGCTGTCGTGGCGACCTGTGTGTTCCTCCAATGATCCCGGGGTTGTGGGTGGGGTTACCTTAAGGTGTCGGGGTGACGCCGGGGGAGGAGTATGATGGTTGGTTGCTGGCGGTCATGGCTGCCACGCGTTCCTCCGATGGGGTTGGGGATGACACGGGGGGCAGAGTGAAGCCGGGGAGGACTTTGGCGGTTGGTTGGTTGTCACGGCTGCCCGTGTGTTCCTTCCGGTAAAGGCAGCAATGCAGAGCGTGCCGATCCCCGGTCGTAGGTCTGGTCACTCGCTCTTGAAGACCTGTGTGCTAAAACACCGATGGGAGCTTGTCCCGGGCCCCGCAGACATCTGGCGTCTCGGAAGACGAGTCGGCTGAACTCCAGAAAAGTTCAAACATTTCAGCTAGGGATGTCCCTCCATGTACTCGCCGATACCAATTACCGATACTTTTTCTTAAAGGGCCATGTGGCATTTTTTCTAAAACAATACAGACTAATGATTTTAGGGCAGTTTCTCACCAGGGCTGCGTGCATTGGAGGTGGCGGGTTCTCTTTAAGGTGACGGGGGGGTCTTTTAGACCTCTAATGTCACCTTTCCACTTCACTGAATGTAAATACAGCAGGCAGTGGCTGGGAGAAATAGCCAGCCTGCTATTGGCTATTGCAATGTAAAATATCCAATAGCAGGCTGGGTATTGTTACAAGTGTCCATTCCTTTTCACCTTGATGAAACGGTTTGCTTTTGGTGATATATCTCAGTGTCAGCTGTCTGTGCTCCTATCACCAGAGTACACAGAGGTTTTCCCTCTCAATGAAAGAAGAGAATGTCCGTTCTGTGTGCTCACGGGGAGGAGAGAAGCTGTACATCTGCAGCGGGGGATTTCACAGTCAGTCTTTTCTCCCTTCTCGTGTTGGCTACAGAGGTCTGTGAAAGGGACACGGAGCGCTGCGGCCAGCACCAGCAGGGAGAAGAGACGCCTCACAGAACACTTACCGCCCGCCACGCTGTCACACTTCCGTCTGGAGAGGTCAGAGCGGAGAGGGAGCCTCTGTTTGGTGGAGAGGTGTTCCGGGGGAGGGGCTATGGGGGTCAATGGCCAGAGCTCCCGGAGGAAAAAAAAAAAGTAAAGGGCCGGTATCTGCTCTATACATCGGGGCATATTCAGGGAGTACGAGTACCCCCTGAAAATGCCCTGTATCGGCCCCTGATGTCGGTACTAGTATCGGTATCGGGACATCCCTAATTTCAGCCAATAAATAATCTCGGCGCTCCAGAAAATCAATGCCGAATCCTAACCGCTGAAACGGAACGCGCCGATAATAGAGACGAATCGGAAGACGCGACTCTTAAGCGCTACAAAGGGTGCCGACATGTTTCACTCCCCCCGGGCACCTCACTCGTACTGTAATAAGGGGTCTCTGGGGGGCTGAAACATGTCGGCACCCTTTGTAGCTGCTCCGACGCCTTTTCAATAACCGCCATTCGGAGGATTCCTGCGCGCGCCGCCGCTTCATGTTGTTGGGCTCGGCAGAGATTGGGGGGGGCTCACATTTCAACTGGAACGTTGTATATAAATGACTCGCCGACACTCGCCCCCAATGCTCCCAACTTCCTGTCACTGAGATCTCTCCTCTGATTGGCAGTTTAGTGAGGGGCGGGGTCGGCTTCCCAGACGGGTGGTGGGATTGGTCAGTGATGCCGGTGGTTTTTCCATAGAAGGCGGGTCCCAGGCAATCCTGATAAGCGGGGACCCTGGGGTGCTGGTGTTGGGACTGCTCGTTCTGTCCTCTGGTTCCTGGCATGGATACAATGTGGGCGGGCCTCGTGTAGGCGGGGTTTATCACAGCTCCTCCTATAAAGGATCCTCGGTTTATTTGGGAGGATGGGGCCCCGGATTTGATCCTTTCACTCTCCCTCTGTATTTAGCGCAGACACACAAGCCCCGCCTGGGACCTCTGCTGACGCATTTCACCCACAGAGCTGTACGACGAATCCTCGATGTGAGTGAAATGCGCTGGAGAAGTCGTCCCAGGTGGGGACTTTGTCTGGAACAATAAAGTTGGCAGTGTTTGAACTTTGCCGGCCTCCAGTAGCGTGTCCTCAGGCGCGGGGCCCGGCGGGAGGGGTCAGGTGTCGCTCGGGGTCACACGGAGGCTGCGGATGATCATTGTGCGTTTTGTTCTCTGCAGGTCATATACAGCAAGTACACGGACCTGATACCGAAGGAAGTGGTGGATCAGGATGACCCCGAGCTGCAGAGACCCGATGAGGAGGCGGTCCGAGAGGTGACGCTTGTGGTTGTGTTGGGGGGGGTTTGGCGTCGCGGGAGTCGGGGAAATATTCTAACCTTCTGTCTGATTCTCAGCTGACGGAGAAGACGCGCCAGGCGCTGGACAAAGCCGTGTCCCAGAAGATCGCCGCCGCCATGCCGGTCCGAGCAGCAGACAAGCTGGGGCCGGCACAGTACATCAGGTGAGGTCCCATGGGGGAGGGTGTGCGTCCCACGGGGG